AGGCTTTGACCAACGCCAGATACGATCGTCGCATTATGGCCAAAACCAACCAGTTCTTCCTGGACCTGCTCAACACACTAATTGACATGACCACGAGAGACCTGGGGTCTGTGGAGAGAACCAAGTATGAGACCCTCATCACCATCCACGTCCACCAGAGGGACATATTTGATGAACTGGTTAGTGTGCCACAAAAAAACTAAATAAGTATTTTGTCTTTCTAAACAGACAGCTGTAGTTCCCCTTCCTCTCCCGTAGGGGGCTATGCAAGCAGTTGAGTAGCAATGCCCTTTGGGTCGATTGCACAGATGCTAGTTTTTTGTGTAATGAAAACTCAGTTATTTTCGGGACATCTTTCTCCTCACCCTTCCTCTCTCCAGCATCGTCTGCACCTCAAAAGCCCAAACGATTTTGAGTGGCTGAAGCAGTGCCGTTTCTACTATAACGAGGATTCAGACAAAATGGTCATCAACATCACAGATGTGGGATTTGTTTATCAGAACGAGTTCCTGGGCTGCACTGAAAGGCTTGTGATCACGCCGTTGACTGACAGGTAAACACACCACTCACAGAAGTCACAACAAAACAACAAGTTGGTAAATACTGTATGTCTTCTGTTATGACTGGACACATTACTGACAAGAGTGTTTGTGTATTTATTTAGGTGCTACATCACTTTAGCTCAGGCTCTTGGTATGAGTATGGGTGGTGCCCCTGCTGGTCCAGCAGGAACAGGTTTGCTGAAAAATATATTTTTACATTCTACGACTAGTTTGTATAGAATTATTAGAATTAGAAGTATTTAAAAAATAACAAAGGCACAATTAGCTATATATAATTATAGATGATAGAATACGACTAATCTTTTTTTTTTATTAGGCAAGACTGAGACTGTAAAAGATATGGGTCGCTGTCTGGGCAAATATGTTGTGGTCTTCAACTGTTCAGACCAAATGGACTTCAGAGGACTGGGAAGAATATTCAAAGGTAAATGTTAAAAAAGCAAGTTTCATTATGTTCCTCCTGAAGAAGAACAAGAGAAAGCACAGGGTTTATAATCCTGTTTTCATCATTTCATTTCTTCCATTTCTAGGTCTTGCTCAGTCCGGATCGTGGGGTTGTTTTGATGAGTTCAATCGCATCGACCTCCCCGTTCTGTCGGTGGCCGCACAGCAAATTGCAACGGTTCTTACTTGCAAGAAAGAACGTCGGCAAAACTTTTTCTTCACTGATGGAGACAGTGTGAACATGAACCCCGAGTTTGGCATCTTCCTCACCATGGTCAGTGGCTCAGTGGTGTTATGTTGTTTGGTATTAAATATGTTAATTTTATTATTTCTATAAAGTAATATAGAAGTATAACTTTTTTAGTTTACAGTATATAAAATGCTAAATTTATGTTTTTGTCTAAAAAAAAAGGTGTTATATNATTATATTTATGAAACCAAGAGGATTTCATGTGCACCATTTTTAAAACCTTTATTCGTTTTCCCTGGATCTAGAACCCTGGTTATGCAGGTCGACAGGAGCTTCCTGAAAACCTAAAGATCAATTTCCGCTCCGTGGCCATGATCGTTCCTGACCGCCAAATCATTATTGGAGTCAAGATGGCAAGCTGTGGATTTATAGACTACATGGAACTGTCTCGCAAGTTCTTCACTCTTTACAAGCTGTGTGAGGAGCAACTCTCCAAACAGGTAAAAGATGAACGTCCTTGGCTGTGATATAAACACCAGGAAGATGACTATATCTCTTATTTTGAGGTTTGCCACGAAACATTTCACGATGCTAAGGACAAGATGATGCTGAAAATTGAATTCTAAACAGCTGTATTCCAAGGGCTCGGGGTTATCAAAGAAAGTTTAACTTTTTTGTCCAGGTTCACTATGACTTTGGACTGAGAAACATCCTGTCAGTGCTGCGGACTCTAGGAGCAGCCAAGAGATCCAACCCCAGTGACACGGAGTCCACCATTGTTATGAGGGTCCTCAGGGACATGAATCTTTCCAAACTGGTCAGTGTGGAAGAAATACAATCCTCAAAGTAACACTGCAAAGTGAAACGCACACTGACATCTACTATAAACTTGTTCAAGCGACAGAATGACAATGTCATCAATTGCATTTTGTTTTTTTAATGCAATGTATTTCTTTTTAAAATGGAATTATCTTGTTTTTTATAGATTGATGAAGATGAACCACTCTTCCTCAGCTTAATTGAAGACCTCTTTCCAGGAATCCAACTGAATAAAGTCGGATACCCTGAGCTGGAGGCTTACATCGACAAACAGGTGAGAGAGAACAATTTTAATGTCATTTTACATTAAAATTGTTCTTTGAAATATTACTCAACATTACGAGACTATGTTTAGTATTCATTTCCATTGCATCATACTCTTATAATTTATTTTGAAAAATGTACCTCAGATTGAGGAGGCTGGTCTGATCATTCACCCTCCCTGGAAAATGAAGATAATCCAGCTTTATGAGACTCAGATGGTCCGACACGGCATCATGGCCCTGGGACCCAGTGGATCTGGAAAGACAACGTGTATACACACTCTAATGAAAGCTTTGACAGGTAGGTATTTTTGAGTATCCTTGCATGTACAGTGACAGTGTCAATGTGATTTTTAGTATTATATAAACCCAAGAGTGACTTGGTAGACAGTCTAGTTTGGTCTAACTTTACAGATTAACAAGTAACGGAAAATGCACCAGACAAGTCAGTCATTAAAACACCTGAGAAATGTTTTTGCCTTTACAATTTAAGCCTTAAAGTAGACACAGCAGAATCATCTGGTCGACATATTATCATAAAACCACAGCAGAATTATCATCTGGTCGACATATTATCATAAAATTACCAGCTCATTAATGCAGTTTAATCTGTTAGTCTTGCTACTGTTTTTTAATGACATTTTCTGGGTCAGAAACATGATCCTATAAAACATTCTTTTTCTGTTTCAAACAGAGTGTGGTCAGCCTCACAGAGAAATGCGTATGAACCCCAAAGCCATTACAGCTCCTCAGATGTTTGGGCGTTTGGATGTGGCCACAAATGACTGGACCGATGGCATCTTCTCCACACTCTGGAGAAAAACATTGAAAGCCAAAAAAGGTCTGCCATGTTTCCTAGTTATGTTTTTATAATTTTGGTATTGGAAATAGGGATTTTTAAAATTAAAAATGACTTATAGATATTTAATTATTTCTTCGCTTTTTTGTATTTTTTCTTGGAATCACCAAGATTACAGTGTCATCTATATTATAAAGAAATATATTTTTCTTCTTCAGGGGAGCACATCTGGATAGTCTTGGATGGCCCAGTTGATGCCATTTGGATCGAGAACCTAAACTCAGTGTTGGATGACAACAAAACACTTACACTGGCCAATGGAGATCGTATACCGATGTCTCCCAACTGTAAGGTGGTTTTTGAGCCACATAATATCGACAACGCGTCTCCGGCCACTGTCTCACGCAACGGCATGGTATTCATGAGCTCCTCTGTGCTCAACTGGAGCCCCATACTGGAGGTGACTACCGCTTGGTGCAAATTGTTAGGAAAATGAATAATATTTTGGACTTCTGTGTGACGTGTCTAATAAAACTACTATTACTACTAGAAAATATAGCTAAATGGGCCAAGAGTAACAGTAGTGGACAATATCTAAGTTCCTACAACTGACCTTTTTCAAAATGCTCATGGATTCTTGACTCAGTTTTTGTGCTTGCTGCTCTCAGGGTTGGTTAAAGAAACGTTCTCCTCATGAGGCCGAAGTGCTGAGGGAGCTCTTTTCCTCCTCTTTCTCGGAACTCTACCAATTCACTGTGCAGTCCTTGGAGTCCAAGATGGACGTTCTGGAGGCATTTGTCATCATGCAGTGCATCAACATGCTGCAGGGACTCATACCAGTAAAGGTACGACTACAAAGAATACAATAAATAAAGAGACAATTCTGCAAGAATAGTTAATGGGTATTTCCCTCAAACCTGGAGATGCCATTAAAATGCTCTAGTAATTGTAAATGAAATGACTTATGGAGGTGGTTCACATCCTTTCCCGGACGCACCCCTTAGACAGAGTAAATAGAAGAAGATGAATAGATAATGGGTATTTCCCTCAAACCTGGAGATGTATTTTTAAAGTAATAAATAAAAACATAAATTATTTCTGCTTTACCAGGAGCAGTGTGGTGATTTGTCAAGGGAGCACCTAGAGTGCCTTTACGTCTTTGCTGTGATGTGGAGCATCGGAGCCTTACTTGAACAGGATGACAGAAGAAAACTGGAAACCTGGCTTCGAGGGAACAACAATATTCAACTAAATTTGCCAACTATTTCAAGTGGCAGCGAGGACATCATGTTTGACTACTATGTAACATCTGATGGTAGGTTAACACATGTAGTTTGATAGAAAAAAATCATCAAGTCTTAAAGTGCAATATCTGATGTGTTTCTACTGAATGTTCTGATTTCCAGGCCAATGGGTTCACTGGAACACCCAAGTGGATGAATATGTCTATCCATCTGAGATCACACCAGAGTACAGCTCCATTTTAGTTCCAAATGTGGACAACATTAGAACCGATTTTCTCATTCAGACCATAGCCAAGCAGGGCAAGGTACGTTAACGTGTCCGTATATGAGCTCTGTGTGCAGTATTTTATACACCTAAAACAACATTACTTTCTCACTGGTTGAAAACATCCTCATCTTTTTAGGCTGTGTTGCTGATTGGGGAGCAAGGAACGGCCAAAACTGTGATCATCAAGAGCTACATGTCAAAATACAACCCTGAGATTCATGTGGGCAAGAGCGTCAACTTCTCATCTGCTACAACACCATTAATGTTCCAGGTACAATAACTCAGCATTGATCAATTGATCAATTTGATCATCATTACTGTTCATAATCTATCAGTATTTTCAAATGAGTATTGTCTTGTGAACCAGTTGCCAACATAAGTGTTGATGTATCAGAGTCAGTGTCTGAGGTAAGGGGTGTCTTATCAAATTTATTATATGACGTAAATGTTACCTGACAACCATCTTTAAACAATAGTACATTCTATTCTCGTAATTTATGGTAATTTGACCAATTAATTACATGTCTAAGTTACTCAATTAGCTCAATAGAATACTGGTCGTCTTCACGCAGACGCAGCAGCAAAGTGGACGTGGAGAATTATTTTCCTTAAAATATGATATTTTTAGTATTGTCGTAATAAAACATAACTGGCAACACTGACACATACATACACGTACAATATACACAGAAAATATATAACAGACAAAAGAACATGTTCAGAATTAAATAAAAATACTCAAATAAAGATAAGAAAAAGTAGTTCAGTACAGTAAAGCCAAGGCCGACATTTTGATAATGAAAAGCTGATCTTACCTTTTTAATTATATTAACCGGTGAGTCTTGGTTTTGAACTTGTTGCTGTCCAGAGTGATGACACCAGGCATTGTTCAAACTCAGTTACCGGTGATTGTGACGGATCCACACCGAACATCACAGCCTTCGTGTAAAAAAAATTGTAAAAAATCCACAATACCAGCGAAGTCAATATTGGACCAGTGAGTGTTGCCGCCAATGGTCGCCGCTCACTCTTCGTCGTCAGCAGCCGTTACAGTCTACTTTGCCTCCTCTCTAAAGTTGGTAGAAGCGCCTAATTTTACCCCCTAATGTCTATCGTCCATATTTATCTTTGATTTGTTTATTTTACCAAAATGCGCCGAGGCGCGCAAATTTGACGTAAAGACGACACTTACACCTGGCCAGGCTATTGGTCAAGTATGTGACCAATCATACTCTATTGTACGATCAGTATCCAAGCGATAGCATTTTTTTTAATCTCTTTGCGTATTTTAGTTTTATTACAATTCAACAATTATGTTGTTAATCATTCTGTAAAGTACAAATTATGGCATATCGGTGGATTTTAGGAGAGGACACTGAAAGGTAGAGTTACTATATGTCCCAACCAGTACAATGTGGAAATACGAGCTTTACGGTATGATGATACTTAGTGGTTTCAGATATCGATTAGTCAATATTGAAATAAATAAATTCATAAATGAACACACACAATTGTATCTATATCTATGTTAGGCTGTGAATAATTATTGTGTTATAAGTTTATTTATTACTATAACACGGCGGTTTGATACGGCGGAAGGTGAACCTGGCGTTATTTGACGATCTCATCGTTGACAGGACAGCCGGCACTACTTTCCTCATTTTTTTTTTTCAAATTCAAACATACTAGAATGCCATTTAAGGACCAAAAACACTTATATGCATTGTTGTAATGTCATTAGCGCTTTTATTATGATACTATCTTTCTATTTTACTCCTGTTTTCTCTCTCAGAAAACCGTGGAAAGCTATATGGATAAGAGGATGGGAACAACATATGGACCTCCAGCTAGAAAGAAAATGTCGATTTTTATAGATGATATCAACATGCCAGTCATCAACGAGTGGGGAGACCAGGTTTGGGATAATTTAATTTCACTCACTACATGTAGATTTAGTTTTTTTTACAACCCAGAAATTTAATAAACATACGATGTTGGAGTTTATTTGCCCTGTGTTCTAGGTGACTAATGAGATTGTACGACAGCTAATGGAGCAGAACGGCTTCTTCAATCTGGAGAAACCAGGAGAGTTCACCAATATTGTGGATGTTCAGTTTCTGGCAGCTATGATCCATCCAGGCGGAGGGCGTAACGACATCCCACAGAGGCTGAAAAGACAGTTCTCCATCTTTAACTGTACTCTGCCTTCCAATTCTTCCATAGACAAAATATTTGGTGGGTAAAATGGGAAAAACCCTGCAGTAATAGATATAAAACAAATACTACTAGTCCTGCGTAAAATCCACACCACCAATAATAAAAACTATGTCAATCAATCACTGTCATGCCTGTAACTGAACACCTTCAACACAGGTGTGATTGGTGAGGGCCACTTCTGCTCTCACCGTGGTTTTACCGAGGAGGTTCAGAGCATGGTGTCCCAGCTCGTGGGTCTGACCCGCCGTTTCTGGCAGCTGACCAAAGTCAAGATGCTTCCAACTCCTGCCAAGTTCCATTACACCTTCAACCTGAGGGATCTGTCCAGGATCTGGCAAGGAATGCTGAACACTAATGCAGAGGTTGTCAACTGTGTTTCGGTGAGCAAAAAAAAAAAAATCTCTTAATGATGATGAACCATCAGTAATATGTCAGTGCTTTAACATGATTACACTGTAATTGTTCAATCAGTGCACATTAACATGAGAAAATGATTCTGACTTTCATTAGGTTTTGTTAGTGTTGTGGAAACACGAGTGCAAACGTGTGATAGCTGACAGATTTACCATGCTGGAGGACGTGGAGTGGTTTGATCAGTCTTTGGCGAAGCTGGTGGAGGAGGAGTTTGGTGAGGAGTACATGAACATGGTGGACATTGGCGTAGACAGATACTTTGTCGACTTCCTACGAGATGCGCCTGAAGCTACAGGTATGAAACAGTCAGGAGTGACACTGTTCATATTAATAAAAAATAATACAGAATTTGATGACACTGATGTTCAACGTTCTTTCTAAATAGGGGACGAGCCAGAAGATACAGACTTTGATCTGCCAAAGGTTTACGAGCCCATCGAGACCTTTGAGAGTTTGAAAGGTCGCTTGAATATGTTCCTGAGCCATTACAACGAAAGCATCAGGGGAACTGGCATGGACATGGTCTTCTTTCAGGATGCCATGATACATCTAGTAAAGGTAAAGACAATCCTACTGAACTTCAGACATAAAAGAAAACACAAATATATATAAACTAGGGTTGAAAGTCAAGTCAAAAAGTCAGAGGACAAATTCAAAAATTCAACTATTCTGACTATTGATTCTTTACTATTGTTGTATATTGTTCATTATACTGAGAGGGTTTTACCATAAACTAAAAAGAATTTTTTTTTTTAGGTGTCACGGATTATTCGGACACCTGGCGGTAACGCATTATTGGTGGGTGTTGGAGGCTCAGGCAAACAGAGTCTGACCAGACTGGCCTCCTTCATCGCTGGATACGAGATCTTTCAGATCACGCTGACACGGTAACGGCGCACAACAGTTGATATAAACGCGTACAATTTAACATTATGGATAATCATTAGTTATTAGGAAACTTGATACCTGACTAAATATCATGTTTTTAACCACAATTTATGATTGAAAACCGTGTGATTTCTTGACAGCTCCTACAACACAGGTTTTAACCACAATTTATGATTGATTTCTTGACAGCTCCTACAACACAGCTAACCTGATGGATGACTTGAAGGGTTTGTACAGAACAGCTGGTCTGCAGGGGAAAGGCGTCAGCTTCATCTTTACTGACAACGAAATCAAAGACGAGTCCTTCCTGGAGTACTTGAACAATGTCCTGTCGTCCGGAGAGGTCGGGAGTGCACGTGTGCTATAACAGCAAAATACGCACAGTTACCACTCCACTGTTAACAGACGGGACATCCTGAGTGTTTTCTTGGGATGTCCTGATTATTGTTGTGGACATTATAAAATTCTTGTGCGTACCTTGTGTTCCTTTCCTCAGGTTTCAAACCTGTTTGCCCGTGATGAGATGGATGACATCCTCAGCAGTCTCATCCCTGTAATGAAGCGAGAGTTTACCAAAAGACCCCCCACCAATGAAAACCTCTATGACTACTTCATGTCACGGGTTCGACAAAACCTGCACGTCGTTCTCTGCTTTTCACCTGTGGGAGAGAAGTTCCACAACCGTGCCTTAAAGTTTCCAGCACTGATATCCGGTTGTACCATGGACTGGTTCAGCCGGTGGCCAAAGGACGCCCTGGTGGCCGGTAGGTTGAATTGCAGTATAAATTGTGCTGATCCCAGCAGATGATATTTCTTTACATTATATTTATTACATAATTACATTATAATTATTTACCATTTTCATGTTCTTTAGTTTCCGAGCACTTCCTGTCAGTCTTTAACATTGACTGCTCATCTCAAGTCAAGACCGAGGTCGTCCAGTGCATGGGATCCTTCCATGATGGTGTGGCAGAGACATGTGTGGACTACTTCCAAAGGTGAGGAATTATTGGTCGATCTGAAAGTAAAAAAAGAAACTGAAGAAACTGTGTTACATTTATCTGTTACTTACAATGTCATGTGATTATCTTTTAGATATCGTCGTGGTCAATCTGAAAGTAAAAGAAAAAGAAACGTGAGAAGAAAAAGTGTTACATTTATCTGTTACTTTTATCCGGGATGAAGAACTGGGGGCCAACGTCATGTGATTATCTTTTAGATATCGTCGCTCCACCCACGTCACACCAAAGTCCTACTTGGCCTTCATCCAAGGCTACAAGACCATCTACAAGGAGAAGCGTGCTGAAGTACAAACACTGGCTAACAGGTCAATGTAGTCCATGTAAAATTATGGGTTTTTTTCTTTCATGGATCTCTGTACTCATTCAGACAGTAATGGAATCACAAAGTGCTGGAACTGGAAAAATTGATTGTATTTTTTCCCCATTAGGATGAAAACTGGTCTCCAGAAGCTGAAGGAAGCATCCGAGTCTGTAGTCGCACTTAGTGCCGAACTGGAAGTCAAAGAGAAGGAGCTGCTGGTGGCCAATGAAAAGGCTGATATGGTGGGTTATAGGTTACAGGTTTTCATTATCGGAGGAAAAACCGATAATGATATTATCGGACATCCCTACTAATTATCAAAATCAAAGTTTAGATCCACGTTTCCTCTCCTCACTCCAGGTGCTGAAGGAGGTGATAGTAAAAGCCCAGGCAGCAGAGAAAGTGAAGCTGGAAGTTCAGAAAGTCAAGGACAAGGCCCAGGCTCTTGTTGACAGCATCTCTGCAGACAAGGCCATCGCCGAGAGGAAACTGGAAGCAGCGCGTCCGGCTCTCGCAGACGCAGAGGCTGCATTACAGGTCTGAAAAATATAATCCTTGTTTTTTTTCTCTACCTCCACTTTGATCCATACAATTAAACACAAGAGCTTAGAGACCTTTGGTATTGTTATTAGAAAATCCAAGAACAGTACGCAGCGTAAACCTGTCTCTTTGTCCCGTCTCACACAGACAATCAAACCGTCCGACATCTCCACCGTGCGGAAACTCAGCCGCCCCCCTCACCTCGTCATGCGGATCATGGACTGTGTGCTGCTGCTCCTGCAAAAGAAAATCAACCCAGTGGAGATCGACCCAGAGAAGAACTGCATCATGCCGTCCTGGCAGGAGTCACAGAAGCTCATGACCTCTGGGAATCTCCTGGGCAGTCTGCAGGTCACTAACTATATTTGTCTGAGGGCCTGAATTTTTCTGCACTGACACATTGGGCCATCGGTCAAACAAAACCGATACCGATATAGACCTAGTAGCATTTATTTATTTATCTGTACAAACCACTGTATGAGTATATAGAGATTAATTAAATGAGCTGCAATGCTGCCATCTAGTGACTTTTACTATAATATACAGGCATGTATCCCCAAAACTATTTTTAGGACAAATCATTTTGTTAAACCCAGGCATTGCATTATCAGGTTTTCATTATCGAAGAAAAAAACAATAACGATTCTTACAGATATTACATAATATGCTAATATCAGGCCGATAATATCTGTTGGTCGATATTATCAGACAACCCTAACAAAAACATATTAGAGTGGCCCAAATGTGTTTCCTTAAATTTATAAATGTATGTGATTGTTCACCGTCCTGCGCTCTGCTTCTCTAAATCTTTTAGGCTAACCTGGTGGTGCAGGAGGACCGTCTGGCTAAAGCTAACGTGTACCTTCAGAAAGCTCAGGCCGAGCTGGACGTGAAGCAGGCAGAGCTGGACGCAGTGCAGGCCGACTATGACAAGGTTCTAATAAAAAAACAGGTCAGTGGTTTTACTTCACCTTAGTGACAGCAGACGACAACATATATTTATGTAAACTTTTTTTAACTCAAATGATTGTTTATCTGACTGGAGATTTTTACTGGCGGCTGTACAGTGACTGTGACTGACTGTGAAATCTGCCCACTTTCCCATCAGACACTGCAAGATGACGCCGAGCGCTGCAGACACAAAATGCAGACAGCGTCCAGTCTCATCAGTGGTCTCGCCGGAGAGAAGGAGAGATGGACGAAGCAGAGCAAGGAGTTTGCTGCTCAAACCAAACGTCTCGTTGGTGGGTTTACGAAGCAGACACGTCACGTTTCTGCCAAATTTTACAACTTTCTGTTGGATTAATTTCCGTTTATAGCACGCTTAGCTTTAAGCTTTGACAGTATTACTTTATTACTTTACTTTATTACTTCGTCACTAATTTTAGCCCATATTCAAAATCATTTATTTGCTGATGAAATTCAACAGCAGTTCTTTCATGTTCTCCTTTAAAGGCGACGTTCTTCTAGCCATTTTCTTGTTTTCCTTTAAAGGCGACGTTCTTCTAGCCACGGCTTTCCTCTCGTACTCCGGTCCATTTAATCAACAGTTTAGAAACAACTTACTGAGTGACTGGCAGCAGGAGCTGCAGCAGAGATGCATCCCATTCTGCAATAATCTGAATTTGATTGAGCTGCTCATCGATGCCCCGACTGTCAGCGAGTGGAACCTGCAGGTCAGTGTTAATAATGGTCAGAATTCCAGCACTTAGACACCATAACACCATATGGAGAAAACCATTACCAACCCTGACTTATTTTGTTGTCATGAATATTTATTGTATATCTACACATGTGTACTGATTGTTCTTTCTACTTACAGGGTCTGCCGAGTGATGACCTGTCCATTCAAAATGGCATCATTGTGACCAAAGCCACGAGGTTTCCTCTCCTCATTGACCCACAGATGCAGGGAAAAATCTGGATCAAGAACAAGGAAGCCAGGAATCAGCTGCAGGTTTGACATCGTATATTTTCTTACCTAACAATAAACATTTCAATTTCAGTCAGGTTTAAATCCATCGACCTTTTCTCCATCACAGATCACTTCAATGAACCACAGGTACTTCAGGAACCACTTGGAGGACAGCTTGTCTCTTGGACGTCCACTCTTGATTGAAGACATAGGGGAGGAACTGGACCCGGCCCTTGACAACATCCTTGAAAAAAACTTCATTAAAACGGGATCAACTTACAAGGTTCTGCAGGCTGAAATTAGCCAAAAAACCGTAGCTAATTTCCTAATAACAGTAAATACTTGTCCTACTGCAGGTGAAAGTGGGCGACAAGGAAGTGGACGTGATGAAGGGTTTCAGGCTCTATGTGACCACCAAGCTGCCCAACCCAGCTTACACCCCCGAAATCAGCGCTCGAACCTCCATCATCGACTTCACCGTCACCATGAGAGGACTGGAGGACCAGCTGCTGGGCCGAGTCATCCTCACTGAAAAACAGGTCAGAATGTCAAGGGTTTGTTTATTGTATTGGTTTCTGGCCACAGGTTTAGGTGACATTTAGTCCTAACAACAAGACAAAACATCAGCTCTACAGTCCTGGCCCTGTACTATAAATTAGCATTAATTTATGTGACAATAAGACACTAACTTATAGGGATGGATATCCCCAGGTACCTCTGGATACAATACAATATTTTGGTCATGATCGCAATAATATTACAATACAGCAAATCTGCGATAATCGATATGTCAATGCATTGCAATAAATTTCATCCTCGATGCATCATGACGTCTGTGTCACCGTTGACAGTCATAATTTATCGACTGCACTGAATCCATTTAATTACAAAATATTGACAATGTTTTCTCCTTCAGACTTTAATGACATGTTAACTGTAATTTAACCAGGAACTGGAGAAAAAAAGGACGGACCTCATGGAGGACGTGATTCTCAACAAGAGGAAGATGAAAGAGTTGGAAGACAGCCTTTTCTACCGCCTGACCAGCACACAGGCAAGAATCTGAAACTCTGTTTGGGACTAAGTGAGGACTGCGGAAAATGTTTGTCATGTTTTTTTTTTGTTTTTTTTCCCCAGGGTTCGTTGGTGGATGATGAAAGTCTGATTCTTGTCCTAAGCAACACCAAAAACACAGCTGAAGAGGTCACGCAGAAACTACAGATCGCTGCAGAGACAGAAATCCAGATAAATGCTGCCAGAGAGGAGTACAGACCTGGTAGGAGCACAGCATCAAAATACTGCTGTGACTGCGAATCAGAAACACTGTCCAAAGATAGAAAAAAAAAAATTCACTAAACCTGCATTAACAGTTGTCTTTTTCTTTCAGTGGCCACCAGGGGCAGCATCTTGTACTTTTTGATCACTGAGATGAGCATGGTGAACGTCATGTACCAGACCTCTCTCAGACAGTTTCTGGGACTTTTCGACCTGTCTCTGGTCAGGTGAGGAATCTGAGCGTAATATTTTTTT